AAAACTACAATAGCACCAAGTTTTGGATACAAAGCGACATCAGAAAATAAATTATTTCAACTGTTCAGTCCTTTCACGATAATATTGGCAAATGTTTCCATTCGGGACGGACCACGCCCCGATCCGATCCGTGAAGGAGCATGTCCCGTCTCCCTAATATACTTGTTAGCTCCATACTATTAAGGTGCCAAGTCGAGGGACGAGCGGCGCTCGGACGGCGGGTTGCGGCGCGTCTCAAAGTCGACAGAAAGTCATCGTTTCTTTTACAGTTTTTTTTCATAAGCCAACATATATTTTGACTGTGATGTTTTTATTATTTTTGTCCGTGATTCGCTTTAGGATCTATGGCTAACTAACGACTCATTTTTTTTCTAAACGGCGGCATGTATGCATATCGAATGGAAGGTTTATTCACGCACAGTGAGTGAGTGAGTTCGTGGAAACGCCGACAGAGACGTGTTCGGTAATTACCTAATGGGGTACATTGTTGTTTCAAGCAGCGCTCTGGCTTCCGTGCTCCAGCGGTCATTAATCAAAAATAAGCAGCCAGTGAAGCCTTAGACAATAGCCAGAGGTCAGAAGGAGTAGTCACAACAAGACGAGCTTCACCATGTACTGTGATGTTTATACTTCATAAACAAATAATCGGAAACACTAAAACAATACACTACATTATATATTTATATAATCATTATATATTATTTATGTACTTATAGCTTATTTGTCTTAAATATAAGACACTAACAACCCCTTCAACACAGAGGAGTCATGATTAATATTAAAACGTCATTCCTGTATCACAAAGGAGCGTCACATCCAACAGCTTTCCACGAAGAAAACAATGAGGTCCGGAAACCGAACAGGAGGACCCTGGACGAGAGACTAGTCATGTTGTGCAAGATGCAATGACAAGAGACGCCGGGGGGCACATAAATAACGTGGACAGATAAACGAGTCGTTTGGACATATTTTAAATGACAATATGTTTGAACGAATCATTATTACTGTAATTAAATATAGAGAATAAAATGAAATTTTATTGTAATATGTAGTAAGGAAGATAAATTTAGTTATGAGTTTAATTTATATGTTTTGCCATTGTTTAAGTATAATATTTAACAATAACACTATAAATAATATAGGTATATGTAAAATATTTCCGTACATCATACTATAAGTGTATTTGTAATTTTATATATTTGTAACATTTAATGTTATTTTATCTTTGATTATTATGAAGACTAGAGCTCCGATCTACATATTAAAGACAAAGGCATATAAAATGTCTAATATTATGAAATATTCATTTGAGAAATTTAAGAGTTATGTATGTCAGTAGGTACACATTTTACTGTCTATCCTTATCTTAATCAACCAAAGATACATAAAAGCAACATTTCGTATATTTAAAGCAACATTCCTCTTCTAAAGATCCTAATGAAAAAGCATGCATTTCTTTTTAAGCTATTAAATTAACACAATTGTCAGTCGTAAACAAAAGACAAACAATAGAGCATGTTGACTTTAAAGTGAATATTGGATGTGACATGAGCTATGAGGCATGGTGAAGCATTCAGTGAGTAGGAACAGTAAGTAGCAGTATGTTACGGGAGCTGGTCATTAACAGGAGTCTCTGCGGGGCGGAACCTAACTTACAATTGACAAACAACAATAAAGAACTACCTACATTAGAGCGTGAAATACAGAAAACGTGCAGACACCCAAGCAGCGTGGCTAATATGAATTTATTTTGTTTATTGGCAAAAAAGTTACAACAGACAGACTACTTAATACATACATGTACCTACTGAAATAACAAAAAATAACTTTACAAACGATGCAAGCAAAGTCGTATATAAAAACTAGTTTAATTTAATGCCAATATATACGGTATCTGATATTCATTACAAGGTATACAATGTAAAGCATTAATTACAAGACGCGCGTGAGTTACAACTGTAACTTGAATGTATTTAATTGCTTTTATTGTCCGTTGTAATAACTCTTTGTAATAAATCTTGTAACACGTTTCCTGTTTACATGTTCATTTATCAAAGGAAAAGAAAACACAAAAATTCGCTCGCACTGAATTGCCTAAACACACGCTATACACACACAGGCGTAGACACAGAACCTACCAGCTACCACCTACCACCTACCAGAAGCGAGAACAGCCACCGGTCTAATAGATGCCGTGCCACTAAATCATGATTTTCAACGGTAGCAAAACGTTAGTCAAATCTCCTCAGATTATTATCTCACAAAGCGAAGCCCATCAATTCTCAATTGTGTACAATTGAGTGCGACTGCTGTCATTGTTTGTGATGTGCTCTGCTTTCTCAATCGCTATTGTGATGCTATTGTGTTAAAATAAATCTATATTCCAAAAATAAAGAGTCCGCAACAATTAATTAGAATATCCGAGTAGTTGTTTTTGTTCTGTTCGAATCACACTATGTCGGTCGTACATCATGTTTTAATGAGTCGCCGCGTGTGTTCGGCACTTTATTTAGTGTAGCGCGATTTGTGGCCCGCGAACACGAAACACTGTTACAAATAAAGCAATTTTAAATTACAACATCTATATTTACATGCAATTTTTAATTTAAATAAAAAAGAAATATATTATTAATTAGTATGTCAGTCCATCAAACAGTGCTTTAAAGATTCTATGGCCGTGCACGAAGCGAGTGACGCCTAATACATATGAATCAGTTTCTTTTGAAAACGTTATGCGAGACACTCATTACCGTCTCAGTGCTAACGTACACATACTTATTTGGGCAGAAACAAAAATACCGAGCTAACCGTATTAAGTAAGAATTGAAATGGAAATCAGTAGCTGCACTCATTCATTTTGGATTTCGGACGAGTTTCTTAACAATATGAGAACAAAGGGATCGTTGGAGCAACAGTAAATCTTAGCAACAGTGGCGCCGTGGAACTGTCCAAATTAGTCTCCACGTTAGTTAAGGATACACTACACACTACACGTGTCACGGGCAGGCCATCGCTGGCATCTACATGACAAATACTTGGAGCTAGTATAAACATGTTGAATGTACAACATGTACACTTAAAATATATAAATAATAAACTTAACGTTAAAACTTAACGAAGCACGTCATGGAAACAAATATTAAAAATCTTTGTAAAGTTGACTTATGTTTAAAGAGATAATCAAATATGATTTCACGAGTATTCATTTAAATGAAACTAGTAGTTTCAGATTACTACACGTATTTTATTATTTGTAGAAACTACATACTCTCGACACATGGATTATTGCATATATGATTACATTCACTGAAAGTAACTGAAACTTCGAGAGCATGTAGTTTTAATATAAAATACTTAGTATTAATTGTTTCTAGTAGGTACATCAGACACAGCAGACATCTCTAGTTTGGCAACAGAATAAGTGCACAACATAGTTCAAAGGACACAATACTAACAGAAAGTCTTCCGTATTTGTAACGATCTTTCACAACTTGTGAGTGATCATTTATAGAGTGACAAAGATGGAGTAATACAAATATTAGTTAACATATAGGTACATATAAATTAAAAAATCAATACGAATTACTTACGGTTAATTTTGTATATATTATAAAAACGAGATCAAAACAAAAAACTGTATAAAAGATTTATAAGATAACTAAACTCAAACAGATCATAAGTTCAGTAATAACAAGATTAAAAACTATATCTAAATGAAAACAAAGTTTCTTCCTTAAAGCCTTGTTATTATTTGCTATAAGTACTCATATATTTCATATTAACAAACAGTTATTATTTGAGTAACTTTGTAACAAACTTTTCAACTGGAGAAATTCAGTAAGAATGAGAATCATATTAATATTGTTTTGTCACTGTATTAGTTTGCATACTTTTTAGTTTGAATTATAATTATAGGTGATTTGAATACAATTTTAATGTCTCATTTCTTTTTTAATTAATATATTTTTATAAAGTTTATGGTAGCTTAAGGTAAAGTTGATAAAAGGTTTCATAATCTGTTTTGTTATCATTGTTTTTCTCATAAAATTGGAAACCAACAAGTAAATAAAAACATATAGATAATTATCTACCAAAACATCCTTCAATCTTTCCAATCATATCTATAAATCTTCATGTTATTCTTAATAATTTCCTGTTGATAGCGAAATATGTAAGTGTACATGAGCTCATGACTGTATGTTATGTAATGTATTGTATTGTGTTGGTCTGTCGGGTCGTTCTTTGTTCTAGTTTCGTTTGTTCCATGTTCCCCACATTCCTGGACCTCATTAGCATAAAACGTCTCCATTCTAACGCCAGTCGGCCGACCATCCATCATGCAATAAAATATTTGTGTGTTCAGAACATACAGACACTTCCGCTGGTCACCTCACGGCTGATAGCGTTTTGATAGCTGGCGAATTATTCAGGAGAAGGAAATATATGTTGTGCTTGTAGCTACTTACACGTTACCAAATAAATATAACAAGAACATGTTGCTAATAGCTAAACAATAAACTATCACCGTTTTATATTTTTATTTAAAATTTTTACATTCAAATAAATTGTCACGCAAAATCCTCTTCCTTGAACACATTTTACGCTTAACGTGAATTAATAGTGATCGAGTCTGTATTAAAAAGTCTAAACATACGTGTATACTAATTATAATACAAATGTTATATTCTTAAACGTTTCAGATGCTCATCACAACAACAATAAAAACTATCTTTATATAGAATGCTTTACAATAATTAAACTGGTGGTATTAAACTGTCGTATTCAGTGAGATGTACAGGAATAAAAACTAAGCTCTCTTTATATGTATAAAGTACCTATCTTTCGGTCGTAGAACCTTACAAAGCAACATTCTATTCGTTCCAAATTAGACACATTCGTATAACGTGACTGACACTAGACATCGGACACCAGACACCAGACACCATATCTACTATTTATTATTATTTTGATCTGAAATATTTCCATCACAACAATGGCGGATGCGTCGCTTCCGCGTCGGTGCGCGCGCGCAGAGACGCGAAAAAAACAACGTGGACTATGACGAGGGTACGAGGGTACCCACTGGCCACCAGACTGATATTTTAATCAATCTCCAGCCTGGTGTGATAATGTGATAAGGAAAAAGTGTGTCTCCGCGACGGGGACCGGTTACCATCGGCTCGCCAGTGAAGAGATTCATTTAAACTTTGTTGAATCATTAGACTGGCATTGTGTCGTTAGCATGAGGCCGCCTATCATAAACTGATCATTTTATTACGTCTCTTATTAATTGCAGCTTTACATGATACAGTACTGTGTCGCGGACTGATCACACACCAATAAAACGCGCGAGTGATGGCCGCGCGACGCGCTCCGTGTTTTAACTAATAAAGTTAAACGTTTCTTATTTAACCGTTTAATATACTGTCCGGATTAATCCTACATATTTTCGAGACAAATCGCCCATGTAGCTGATTTATATCTGTATAAAAGTCTTCACTATATTATTTGATCCAGTCTGCTCTGAATCCTCTGAAGCTCTCATGTTTTTCAAGTCGTGTGAACAGCCTCGTCCCTGTGATCAAAGCGTCTTCAGTAAACACGCGCGCGTCACTTCCTCTATCGATGTAACTTCACCTGCTGGCCGCGGCTCCTAAACATCAGTTTCCGGATCGTGTTTTCATATTTCTACATTACGCACGTTACTATTTCGAATATTATTATTTGTCTATGGTTTTACGGCGTCGTAAAACAAATCGTGGTTGTCTATGTATTGAACCGAATTTAAAAGAGTTTTTGTTGTTTTTATAAATCTATATTTATTTTATGATGTTTTGAACGTTTTTTTTATAATATTTTGCAATATGTTTTTTTTGTGCTTTAGAGTTGGTATATATTTAAATTTGCTTGCAAGAAAATCTAATAACGACAACGCTTCATTTGACATCAGCTAACATGTACTAAAAAGCAACATAAATGCAACTTAGCACCTAAAATTAAACGTCCAATTTCTGGGAAAGCTTCTTAAAAGTAAATTGTTTATATGTTTTAATTTTAAAACATTGTAATGTCGTAAATCCGTCAATACAGTGTGAGCGCGGCGGCGGCCGGTGGCGCAATCATGGACGTGGTCAGCATCAAAGGAACGGACTCTCATCAAATATTACTCTTTGGTAATTTTTAATACCATCGCGATGTTTATTTAGTGGAATCAACAGCACCAGCATTTAACCAGATTATATTGCATACGAGCGAGATGAAACTCTTTTAAAAATATACTACTATACTGAATTGATAACTTCAAATATTACTTACGATTAAAATGTCCTTTATTTTTACATTTAATCTGTTCTATTTATATACATAATAATATTCCAGTTACTTATTTTATATCCTACTTATTTTACCCGGCGAACTTCGTATCGCCCTATAATCAAGAAATATCTGTTACGTTTTTTTATTTATATTTTTGGAGTATACCTATTAAAGCCATAAATCTCCGTGTTTTGAAGTGCTACAGAATGATTGACATACTAGTTAGATGTCAAATCTAATGTCAAAAAAAAGGTTGTTTCAACAACTATTAATGAATTAAAAATAATTAAAAAAAACATTGTCCAGCGGACAAAATTGTGAATCTAAACCATTCCCAGATCCCCTTGAACACACACTAAAAATTTCATAAAAATCGGTCCAGTCGTTTGAGAAAAGTTCAGTGACATACACACTCACAGAAGAATTATATATATAAAGATTTTTAAAAGAATAATTCGGATGAAATAAGTCCATGTATTGAACATTTGTCACAATGTCCACTCAATGATAAAAAAGAAATGATTCCAATAGAAAATGTTGATTGTAAGGTAGTAAAGACGAACAGACAGACAGACACATCCGCCGCATTAAGATAACGGTCGACTTAAGATACGTTACTGCTCTTAATTAAATCAATAGAAAGATAACTCAGATGGCTTATCTTTTATATCTTTCCTTTCTTTTAATATATATTAAATCGGAATCAAAATCTTTATTGATTATATTAAAACAATTCTGTGTTTTATCAATATGGATGAATTAATACGCGATGCTATTAATTTTGCACAAAGTTCATATGAAGTGACCTTTTTCGATGCATGAAACATAATTTGAATAATGTATGAAGTTACTTGATATTAAATAATTTTGTATACTTCAGTTTAAAGAATGCAATGACAGTCCTTGCACCTGACTGGTTTCTATAAGGAAACCTTATCACACGAGTGGCGGAGTGACGGAGGGGCGATCAGAACGTATCAAGAAACGTTTATATTCAACAACACAAGCTTATCATATTAATATACTTCATTTTATTCTTCACTAGCTTTCCGCCCGCAGCTTCGCCCGCGTGGAGTTCGGTTATATCGCGTTTCCAAGAGAACCTTTCAAAAGTCTGGGATAAAAACTATCCTATGTTCTTTCTCAAGGTCAACCAAATTTCATTAAAATCAGTTCAGTGGTTTATGCGTGAAAACGTAACAGACAGACAGACAGACAGAGTTACTTTCGCATTTATTAGTAGGGATGCACTATCACTGACTACACTCACTAACTGACTGACCTAAGTAATGAACTCACAAAAGCAACACATTTGTTGAATCTCTAAACATAGTTTATTATTTGTATCTGGATAACTTTGTTTTTCTCCTGGTTAAAACATTGGTGATTTGAATTTTATCATTACTGTAATGACTAATTATTGTTAGAAACATTTTTCGTAACAAAAGTTGAAATCTTTTTTGGTGACATTACTGTATTTCATTATTTTTAATTCAATAAGCAAAAAGCTATACAAGAGAACTAGATAACCATTATTACATATTTATTTAAATTGATTGAATAAATTGTTTGTTTTAAGGATTCTTTACGACTAATTAGGTTTATTCTTAAGTTCTGTCAATTCTCTTCATTTTATGTTATTTTAACTCCAAAATGAATATTTCAGTGTTTACCGTACTATAAACTTTAAGTCAGTCGCCGAATTTAGAATTCTTTGAGGGTGTCATTCACATTATTCACGAGCGCTTGGAAGAATCATTAGTGTTTACTAAGTTTAAACATGATAACTGTGATAGTGTCCCTTCCTTCATCTGTTCATTATTATGTGATGTGACGTCACTCGTGATGACGTCACAACGTTAGTTCTGACGCCGCGGAGGCCGCTGGCCAACACGAGTCGCTTGAAGAGTGATCAGCCTGACGGAATTAATTAAGAGTTGAAGGTCGCTCAACAGAAACATCGCGTTCCGAGAAAACCAACGAACCAGTGAATTATAAAGTGGAGAGTAGCAGTTTATGAAGTCGGCTCTCGGGGCCCACCGCCGGCATCAAAATAAACAAATACTACCTAAATATACCGACACATCAAAGACGAGCGGCCAGATGCACCGTTCAGAGGAGATCGGACCACGGCTATTACAGATCATAAGCACTAATGTATCCAAATATTACCACCGACTACATACTTATATGTTTGTAATTTATATGTATACCTGCTTGATCTTTGTTAATAAACAAACGCTAAGTTTTCCAATAAAAACAATATGTTTAAACTAAACTAAATAGAAGAAAACGACAGAGGAACGTCACGTGTTATTAGATACGAGATGGACGGATGTTGTTTTCTATCCGAACGCCTCTTAATTAGGCCACACTCCAACATTAAAACCAAAGCATCGTGTTTACACACAATAAAGATCATCGGCCACGACCAGCGACTACCTAACAACCAATATTGGACGCCAACAACCACACGAGGCCAACTTAACAAACAGATTCACAGAAACAGAACGCGATAAATGTGTGTACAACTCTTTATACTTATTAATATGTAAACACACGCCTTATAAGTAATACTAGTTTGTGATAATCCGCGGCAAAGTGTTTGATATCTAATATGTCCGCAAGAGCAGTCCGATGCTCATCAATTGGTTGGTCAGTGGCTCGCCGCTCCGAGCGCGTCCGCACCAGCTGGTAATGTGTTATAGAAAACACAGAGGAGGGAAACACGTAAACAGCGGCCACATCAAAGAACACCGACCACGCTACAAACAACCAGATAACTCTTGACACTATATACAATAAAATATACATAACTAAAACGAACAAAAAAAACATAAGCAATAATTTTTATGAACCACAGAACCGAAAACAAGAGACAGTTAATATTAGTAAAGGATCGAATCCCCGAATGGCAGCGAGATTAAAACGTTAAAGCGACAATCTTATTAATATAAGTATTTATAAATTGTCATAAATCCAATGATTTAAAAAGCGTGTCCGATCTTAATTAACTATCAAGATGTGTGGAGCGCGCTCCGACACAACACTTTGATGTTGGATCGAGCGCTCCTCGAGACTGTTACTACACTAGCAGCATTAAACGTATGAAGTATTCACCGCGCTCTCAAAACATACCTTAATTTAACTGACATAAGACACAAAATATGTGATTACTAATACAGTTTTACAGCTTTACGAGGTGATAACGACGTCTCGATATAACGTATTGAAAGATCGTAAATCACATGAATCTTTAAACGACTTTGAGATTTAATGTAACGTGTTAAGGTGTATATTTGATGGTGTTGGTTGATTACATGTGTTTATATGTGCAGGTGGGTCCAGGTGATCTGTCAAAAGCATGAGTGGTAGCAGGCGAGAGGAGCAAACAGCACTAGAAGTAGACAAGCAATACGACTCCTGACCTGGAACTAACGATTTAACTGCTAGTCAACATTCGCGACTACTAAGACGCTGTCCTTTTCACAATTAGACATTTTATTAAACATTAATATTCAATAATGTTTATATAAATACATATTTCTTTGTTTACGAAACGTTTAAACTTCCAAAATAAATTACGTAGTTTTCACAAAAATATACAAATAAGACAAAACAATGTAAAGCGTGGAGCTTTAACAAATAGTTTAGCAAGAACAGGAACTAATATAATGAGTTATATAGTATAAGTAGTATGTTTCTCTGTGGGTAGTCCCTTAATATGTTGTAAGGACTCATTCAAATGACGCTATAAGACAATAGCGTACATAGTGGTGCAGCGTGTGTCTGTCTGTGGGCGGCCAGTGTTACGTAAAGATCCGGTGTAGGGTTCCGTACATCCTACTTAATACAATTACAACAATTAACTGAGACGTTCAACGGTCCCGTTACGTACGACACAAACAAACATACGTTACGTCGACTATATATGTATAACATTTTAAAGAACGCTCTCGAAGGACTTGCTAGTGTTTTAATTCTTCAAAAAACACTTTCATTTAATTAGCACTAGACTCGTATAGTAAGAAAATTAAAATTACATATTAAAATATGAAGCATTCAATGCTGCTTGCTGGTTGAGTTACTTAAAAAGGCGGGAAAATGAGAAACAGACTAAAAATAACACATACAGACATACAGACAGGTAAATTCGAAATAAATTTTCAATCGTTTATGTTTAGTTTAAATAAATTATTATTAATTTATGTAGTCAATTAAATCTAAAAACCCACATATCTAATTGTATTGAATTTGTTACACGAATGATTGTTTAATAACATTAAATGTTGACAATAGAGCATTGTAATACAATAAAGTAAAGAATGTAACGTCTTCAATA